GAAAGGAAGCGTCGGAGCCAGCGGATGAAGGTCGGGAAAAAGCCTCAGCCGTCCCGAAATCCTCCGACAGATCACGCTGTGAACCCCATGAGTGAAGCCGCCGGGCCGCCTCAGCGGCCGCAGGGCCCACACCACATCCGGCCATCCTCGGAAAAGAGAGCCATGCTGTACCTCAGTACCCGCACGGAAAGGGCTTCGCAACGGGCGCAGGCAGCCCCCTCGAGAGCTGCCCGGGCGTGCTCCATCCCCAAACATGAGACACACATCTGATGAGAATCTCCATCCGTGATGTACCGAGGGCAAGAAAAAACACACCTTCTGTATATCTGGTTGCCGGACATGCTGGTAGACTTCTTCTTCAGGTAAGACATACTGCTTGTAGGACTGGAGCTTTCTTCAAACAACATACAGAGCGCCTGCTGAATAGAAAAAAGCTAATGATGAGTGTGTACAGGTGTGCTTTATACTCCTCCGGTTATTCCGTCACACCTTACCGTTCTAGCAACAAGCCAATAGGATTGGAGTGATTTCATTCACGTTCAGACCTGCTTCGCCTAGAGGCGTTCCCATAGTGTCGTAACCGACGCAGTTCGAGTTCCCTCAAAGGGGAACCATGGCTCAGGGTGGGCGGCCATCTGCCTCGACCAGTTGGGGTGAAGGAGAGAGAGGGAGAGAGGGCAAGAGAGGAACAGAGAGAAAGAGAGAGGGATGGAAGGACAGAGGGGAGGGAGGCAGCCTACACAATATACAGTAAAGGTACAGACAGTAAAGGTGATGACTAAATGACTAAATGAAAAATGGTTTAGATATTTATAGTAGTGTTAATGATAATAATCGAAATGTTAATGATTACAATAACAATAGGACTAGTAACAATAATTGCAGCAGAGGCTGTCAAGCAGGAACACAGGGGCAGCAGGTGACTCGCAGCCACAGATCCAGACTCCACAGCTCCAGAGCCAGAAACACCTGCAGGAAGAGATAGGAGGAGAGAGGAGAGGGACGAGAAAGTACAAGACTACCGGAAAGGGGAGAAGTTGTGTTAGTAACATGCAATAATGGGATGAGGTTGCATACAGAGGGAGAGAAAGTAGAGGAGAGAGGAGCTCAGTGCATCATGGGAAATCCCCCGGCAGTCTAGGCCTATAGCAGCATAACTAAGGGATGGTTCAGGACTCACCTGAGCCAGCCCTAACTATAAGCTTTATCAAAGAGGAAAGTCTTAAGCCTACTCTTAAATGTGGAGATGGTGTCTGCCTCCTGAACCCAAACTGGAACCTGGTTCCACAGGAGAGGAGCTTGATAGCTGAATGCTCTCATTCTACTTCTGGAGACTCTAGGAACCACAAGTAACCCTGCATTCTGGGAGCGCAGTGCTCTGGTGGGGTAGTAAGGTACTATGAGCTCTTTAAGATAAGATGGTGCCTGACCGTTAAGAGCTTTGTAGGTAAGAAGAATGATTTTAAATTCTATTCTGTATTTTACTGGAAGCCAATGCAGAGAAGCTAAGACAGGAGAAATATGATCTCTTTTCCTGGTTCCTGTCAGAACACGTGCTGCAGCATTCTGGATTAGCTGAAGAGTCTTAATGGACTTTTTCGAGCAGCCTGATAATAAGGAATTGCAGTAGTCCAGCCTATAAGTAACAAATGCATAGACTAGTTTTTCTGATTACTGGTTCCTGATTTTCGCAATATTACGTGGGTGAAAAAAGGCGGTCCTTGAAATTTGCTTAATGTGAGAGTTAAACGACACGACCTGATCAAAGATAACTCCAACATTCCTCACAGTGGTGCTGAAGGCCAGGGCGATGCCATCAAGGGAAACTATATCTTTAGATAATGCGTCACGGAGGTGCTTGGGCCCCAGAACAATAACTTCAGTTTTATCTGAGTTTAACATTAGAAAATTATAGGTCATCCAGGTTTTAAAATCCTGAAGGCACATTTGAAGTTTAGCTAACTGATTAGTTTCATCTGGCTTGATCGATAGATATAACTGGGTATCATCTGCATAACAATGAAAGTTTATGGAATATTTCCTGATAATATTACCTAAAGGAAGCATATAAGTGGATTGGTCCGAGGACAGATCCTTGAGGAACTCCATGACTAACTTTGGCGTGCATGGAGGACTCATCGTTAACATGTACCAACTGAAATCGATCTGATAAATAGGACTTAAACCAGCTTAGAGCGGTTCTTTTAATGCCAATGAAATGTTCCAGTCTCTGTAATAGGATCTGATGGTCAATGGTATCAAATGCAGCACTAAGATCTAATAAAACCAGTACAGAGACAAGTCCTTTGTCTGATGCAATAAGGAGGTCGTTCACCAGTGCTGTCTCTGTGCTATGATGAACTCTAAATGCTGACTGAAAATCCTCAAATAAACTATTGCTCCGTAGAAAGTCACACAGCTGTTTAGCAACTGCTTTCTCCAGAACCTTACAGAGAATAGATATAGGTCTATAGTTGGCTAAAACATCTGGATCTAGTTTGGACTTTTTCAGAAGAGGTTTAATTACAGCTACTTTAAAGTACTGTGGTACATAGCCTGTTGATAAGGATAGATTGATCATCTAGTATAGAAGTGCTGACTAAGGGTAAAACTTCTTTAAGCAGCCTAGTCGGGATGGGGTCTAAGAGGCAGGTTGAGTGTTTAGAAGAAGAAATTATTGAAGTTAGTTGGTAAAGATTGAGGGAAGCAAAACAGTCTAAACATATATCTGGTTTTACAGCCGTTTCTAAGGTTCCTGGGTTTAGAGATAAGTCGGTGCCAGTTGAGGGCAGGTCTTGGTGAATTTTGTTTCTAATAGTTAGAATTTTATCATTAAAGAAGCTCATGAAGTTGTAACTACTGAGAGCTATGGGAATACTTGGCTCAATTGGCTCTCTGTCAGCCTGGCTACAGTGCTGAAAAGAAACCTGGGGTTGTTCCTATTTTCCTCTATTAATGACGAGTAGTACGCTGCTCTGGCATTACGGAGGGCCTTCCTATAAGTTTTAAGACTATCTTGCCAGATTAAAGGAGAATTTTCCCGTTTGGTGGAACCCCAGTTTCCGCAATATTTGCTTTAATTTGCGAGTTTCAGTATTATACCATGGAGCTAACCGTCTTTGTTTTAGTATTTTCCTTTTTACAGGGGCTACAGAGTCGAGTGTCATTCGCAGCGAGCCTGCAGCACTATCAACAGACATCTTGTCTAAAAAATTTTGCCCAATAGCGTGTAGTTCAGCAATACAAACAGTGGTCAGATAAAGAGGGATTCTGTGGGAACACTATTAAATGTTCAATTTCACTACCATATACCAGAACAAGGTCGAGGGTGTGGTTAAAACAGTGAGTAGGTTCATGAACACTCTGAGAGAAGCCAATGGAATCTAACAGAGAGATAAACGCAGTACTGAAGCTGTCATTCTCAACGTCCACGTGAATATTAAAATCCCCTACAATAATAACTTTGTCCGTTTTAAGGACTAAAGTTGACAAAAACTCTGTAAATTCAGATAAGTACGGACCAGGTGCTTGGTAAAAGACTAAGAACAAGGCTTTCAAATGAGTTATAATTTAGTTTAGTTTTAGAGCTGATTAGTAGGCTAGAGTCGAAGATAGCTGCAACTCCACCTCCTCAGCCTGTGCCTCGAGGAATGTGAGTATTAATATGACTGGGAGGGGTGGATTCATTTAGGCTAACATATTCTCCATCACCCAGCCAGGTTTTAGTAAGACAAAATAAATCAATATCATAATCTGATATTAGTTCATTTACTAGTACACCTTTAGAAGAGGGAGATCTGATGTTTAAGAGTCCACATTTAATTTTCCTATTCGTTTGCACTATTGCTCTTGTGGTTTTAATTTTTATGAGGTCTTTATGTACAGCTCCTCTTTCTGTTTTCTTCCTTTTTAAATAATTTTGATGGTCGGGGGACAGACACCGTCACTATAGGATTTTCACTAACTAAGTAACTCCTGAAATGGAGGAGCAGAGAAGTGTGTTAGACTGCGTAGGGTTTTGGGTGGGTGACTGCTGAAATAGAAGGGCAGAGAAGTGTGTCATCAGTACTCATAGGGAGTACTGTCTGACTAAATTGTGGACACCTTTAGGCAAATAGAAAGTGGCATGGCCAGATGGAAAGCCTACCAAAGTATCTGTTTCTACATTATACTAAACTGACACATAGGAAAAGACCATTGTGCCATTGTGACACTCAGTTTGCAGGCCTCCACCTCAGTGATCAGCACCACGATCTCACACTCTGTGAAGTTTTTCTTTTTCATATGTTTTGCAGCAGAATTGGCTGTTGCTATTCAGACAGTAGGTGACAGTATTTATAGTCATTTGCAAAGTAATTTATGGGAGGAGCCAAGGCAAGGTAAGTGGCTAGTCCATATGCACTCAATTTTACATTGACTGGGATATATAATGGAAAGGTGTGTAGGACCTTGCATTCTTTTCAAATTTTGTGAGTACGCCATTTCAGTATGAAAGTGTCACAGTCACAGTTACACACTGTAATTTTTGACTCGCAAATGAATGATTCTTACTGAAATGCACCCTGGGACTTTTTATGTCCACAGGTGTGTACCTTTGACCCATTGTTGAAGAACAATTTATATTCATAATTTCTACAGATGATTCAACCAGGAAAGTTCCATGTCCATCTAAACCTTAAAGGGCTCCAACTGTCAGTCACCTAAACTAAATGGGCTGCTACTTAAATCCATGCCAAAGGAATGTATGTCATTGCTGTGTTTCAGCATGCAGAATGACTCTGCTTGGCTCAGATTTCTGATTGGCCTAGACATATTTACAGCTGCCTCTTTGTTTTTGTTGTTGCACCTGTTAAAATCAGTTCAAGTCACTTCTCTGCATTTTCTGACTGCCAGCTGCTCTCCTCGTTTTTGCCGTTACGGCACCTCAACACTAAATTTAGAGCTGTAACTCTGGATCTGTTTACGTATGATGTAAAAATAGCAAGAAGGGACACCACCACAGAGCAGATATACAGGACAGACTGAGTGTAAGCTGGTAAAAGTTAACGACAGAAAAAGACTGAGGACAGACAGAAAAAAGAGATAGACAGACAAGCAGAGAGACAGACAGGTACCTTCGCAGCTACTGTAAAGATTAGAGACAGACAGGCCCAGAGATAGACAGATACAGACAGACAGTGGACAGATACTGTGGTTCACTTAAGGGTATACTGTTATTGGTTACAGCAGAGGATGTTAACAAACAGACAGACAGACTGTGACAGAGAGACATCAGGTAAGAACCGGTTTACTGATTTCTCTGAATTTTATATGTTTTTAGGGCCTGAGCATGAACTGTGCAAGGTCCCTATTGAAACTGAAGGAATTATTTTTAGGGCCTGAGAATGAAACATGCAAGGTCTCTATTGGAACTGAAAGAATTATTAGGGCCCGAGCACAAACTGTACATGGTCCCTATTGAAACCAGGGTACCCCCAGGATTCTCAGTTAAAGTTAAAGTTAAATTTAAGACCATTTAAGACATGAAATTTAATGCCAACTTCACTGCTGTATAATGGAAAATCTGTATCAGATTTAATAGAAAAATTTATTATAATACTCAAATTCATATTTAATACACTATAGCTTTTTGAGGAGTGTTTGTACTCTGATAACATAAAATTAATCAAGAAACACTTTATGTTGAAAAGTGTTAGAGGACATAGGGGTTGAGTTTGTGACGATACACTTAGCTCACATGCACGATTCACAATATTGGGTTCTCACAACACTATTTCTATTCACTATTCAAGCCATCTGTGAATTTTTGCATAGCAGCAACTTATTTGAAAAAATTCAGTCAGGTATCAGAATGCATCACAGTAAAGCGAGGGTGGTGATGGGTAGTGGATAAGACACATGCCTTTGGTGTGAGCGACCCGGGTTCAGTTCCCTACTGTGACACATCCATCAATGTGTCCCTGAGCAGGACACTAACCCCTCGTTGCTCCAGAGGACATAAATAGCAAATATTGCTTTGGATAAAGGCGTCAGCTAAATGAATAAATGTAAACAGAGAAAACGCTGATAAAAATCTCTAATGATCATTTAACTGCATCAGACAAACGCCATTACATGAACTGCTTTTAACTGGTTTAAATCTTACTTATCAGATCGTACCCAGTTTGTACATGTAAACGATGAGTCCTCTCTGCACAGCAGAGTCACCCATAGAGTTCCACAAGGTTCAGTCCTTGGACCTATATTATTCACCTTATATATGCTTCCGCTAGGTAATATTGTTAGGAACCACAGTATAAATTTCCATTGTTACGTTGATGATACTCAGTTTTACCTTTCTGTCAGACCTGACGAAGCCAGCCAGTTAGCTAGGCTTCAAATGTGCATCAAGGATGTGAAGAACTGGATGTCATAACTTCTTCATGTTGAACTCTGAAAAAACTGAGGTTGTAGTACTTGGACCCAAACACCTCTGAGATACATTGTCTGCAGACATAATTGCTTTGGATAGCATTGCCATGGCCTCCAGCCCCACCGTGAGGAATCCGGGAGTTATTTTTGTCTGTCTTTTAACTCACACACAAAGCAAACTACAAGAACTGCCTATTTTCACCTTCACAATATTGCGAAAATTAGAAACCTTCTGGTTTCTGCAGAGAAACTTTCAAGCTGCTCAAAAAAATCTCTTAAGTCTCTCCAGTTAATACAAAACGCTGCTGCATGCATACTGACTAGAACTAGCAGGAGAGATCATATCACCCCTGTTTTAGTAACTTTTCACTGGCTCCTTTGAAAGAACTTCTTACACCATACTGCCCCACTAGAACACTGCACTCCCAAAATACAGGGCTACTTGTAGTGCCTAGGGTCTCTAGACGTAGAATGGGAGCCAGAGCCTTTAGCCATCAGGCACCAGCTTGGCTGTGGAATCAGACCCCTGTCTGTGTTCAAGAAGCAACCAACCAACCATTTACATATTTAAGAGTAGCCTAAAAACCTTTCTTTTTAGTAAAGCTTTTAGTTAGGGATTGTTTTTCTTTATTTTGTAAGAAGGTTTATAGTTAGGGCTAGGGTGTGTTATGAATTTTTATACATTTTTATAGTCTATTTAATTTAATTTATTATAAGTTTTATAATTGTGTATTTTATTGTTTTTTAATGTGTATATTGTTAGGTGATGTCAGCCATTTTTATTCAATTCTGCAATCTTTATGTGTCTCTGTTTTCTGTAAGGTGTACAGGGACCACACAGCAGGTGATTTAACACTTTAAATAAATTTGACTTATTTTGACTATTTTGATGAAATATGCAATGCTGAAATTCCTCCCCTAGAAAATTTTGAGCACTAAACACTTAATTTCCTGCATCCTGGAGACATTTTGTACACCACTTTATGGTAGATAAAGTGAAACATAAAATTCTGTGCCAATTCCAACAGAAAATAGTGCAGTAATCAGCAGCTTTTTTTTTTAGCTTAAGTTACTTTTTTTGGACAATGCACATTTGTTTCTTCTTTATTTACATTGTATTACATATTTTCTTATTGTGCAAATAAACCCTTCTTTCATTTTTTTTAAACATTTCTTGTTAAGAGCCATTTTTCTGAACATATATAACAAATGCTTTAAAAAAGTGATGGGGACATGTCCCCAGCGTTCCAAAATAAATTGTGCAGTTTGAGTTGTTACAATTAGTGACACCTTGGCTAGATAAGGTAATGTAATGTAATATAATATGCCTATGTAAATGCCAATTGCCTCAGTCATTATTCATCCTGTTCTGTTTTTGCATCTGAAGGTTGTTGGAAATATAGTATATATAGTATATAGTGTTGGCTTGAAAGCAGCTGGGATAAGGAGTTTTTTTTTTTTTTGTGATGTATGGAGTTTAATGTGCGTTAGCATGTTGGATGTTTCTATTCACATAATGTCAGACACGTCCTCGTCTCTTACACAGCTGTCTCTCCGTTGCTGTAGTAACATTCACCAGTAACCTGCAGTGGGTCTTCCAGCTCTGCTGTTCCATAAGTGCTCGTCACAGTGTGACTGGCACGCACGCCGTTCCACTTGTTGAGCTAACCTCAGCGCCACTGCCCTCAGTCTTGTCCGGCAACTCGTCCGTATCTCTGACTTTCTGAACTTCAGACATTCGCCCATTCTCAGCTTAGCATTAGCTTGATAGTAGCATGTCAAAGACATTTTGCTTTCTTTCCCAACAACTGACTGATTCGTGCACTGCCAACACACCACAGTCAAGAGTGGCTGACGTAAACAGTAATGTTACTTGTGCTGCTGTATAACATCCAAGTCGCACCAAACGGAGTATATTGTAAAATCATAAACAAAAAAAGTATTTATTTATGACGTTACGCTATTTATTTAAACAAAAGGACAAGAAAACGATTTTTTTTTCTTCTTTCTTTCTTTTTACTGCAAAGTAGCCTCAATTTTGGGGGCCTAAACATACTCGAAAATTCACCAAACTAATACAGGCGCAGCAAAAAAAATCATATTTTATGGTTCTTGCGCATAAGCATGTTAAAATGGCTCGCTAGCGCAGCCCCCGGCCAAAGACACCCAACAGGAAGTCAGCCATTTTGGATTTAATGGTCACTTTTGCCGATTTACACACTTTGTACTTTAACAAACTCCTCCTAGGGAATTACCCTGATTGACTTCAAATTTTCGCTGTGCAGTGTAAACCCATGGACGATTAAAAGTTGTACAAACTATTGTTACCAGTCGACCAGTTTGATGTGGCGCGTCGTCAAAAATCATTCGCCATGAAACAGGAAATATGATATAATAATAGTCCCGCCCTGAATACATCCATATTCCAATATTTACTCAAAGTCATAGCGCCACCTGCTGGCAACAGGAAATGACACGGTTTACGCAGTAATGTACTAATTCTAGCAGTTTGGACATATCAACTTCAAAACTGTCCCAGAAAACCCTTAACACATTGATGAGGCCACGTTGTAAAATTTGTGAGTTTGCAGTTATGTGGCGTAGCGGTGGCATGGCAGCGAAGTTCCACTCTTCGCCATGACACAGGAAGTTGTTGTAACTTGACTGTACCTGATCAAATCTGTACCAAATTTTACACGTTTGATAAGAGCACCGCCTTGAACACATGTTCATGCCAATTTTTGCACATAGTCATAGCGTCACCTGCTGGCAACTGGAAGTGACCTTTAACAAAGCAGCACCTGCTGCATGTGTCATACCTACATGTATGAAATTTCTGTGGCACATGTATCATGGCCGGACGTACCAAAAAGCCTCTTGGAGCGATGCCCTAAACCCAACAGGAAGTCAGCCATTTTAATTTTATGGAAATTTTTTCTGATGATTTACATACTACATACATACATTACATTTTTGCGGTGCACTCTAAACCCATTGACAATTAAAAGTTATACAAACGGTGAGTTTTCGTGGAACGGTCCTAAATTGATGATTCGTCAAAAAACAGGAAGTTGTTGTAACTTCAGTCTACATGCTCACATCTGCACCAAATTTGGATTGTACTATAAGAGTCCCGCCCTGAATACAGCCACATGCCAATATTCACTTAAAGTCGCAGCCACGTGCTGGCAACAGGAAATGACACGTTTTATGCTGTAATGTACTAGCAGGTTGGACATATCCACTGTAAAACTGTCCCAGAAAGCCCATAACGCATTGATGAGTTTGTAGTTAATGGCGTGGCGGTGTCATGGCGGCAAAATTAAACTCTTCACTATGACACAGGAAACTGTTGTAACGTGCTCATATCTGCAGCTAGCTGGCTTCCAACTGCACAGAGCGGACCGCGACACATAACTCTCCATCAAAACAAAAGGTGGAGGTGTCTGTTTTTATATTAACAATGGGTAGTGTACCGACGTGACAGTGACTCAGCAGCACTGTTCTCCTAATCTGGAATATTTTATCATTAACTGTAAACCATTTTACTCCCCCCATGAGTTTGCTTCATTCTCTCTGGTTGGTGTTTACATTCCGTCGCAGGCCAACGTGCAAAACGCACAGCGCATGCTGGCCAACCGGATACTGTGTGTGGACAAACCCGGACTCCCTAGTTATTGTTCTTGGTGACTTTAACAAAGGAAACCTCTGCCAAGAACTCCCCAAATACAGACAGTTTATAAAGTGTCCAACCAGAGACAGGAACACTTTGGATCACTGCTACACCACAGTTAGCAGTGCCTATCACGCCGTCACACGCGCTCCACTGGGACACTCTGATCACGTGATGGTCCATCCGATTCC